CCCACTGCCATCAGTCAGTTCTGACCCACAGTGGCCCTAGAGGGCAGGGTAGAACTGTGCCTGGGTCTCCGAGAGCCTCATTGTTCTTCCAGGGAGCTGCTGGGGGATTCAAACTGCTGACCTTGCAGGGAGCAGCCCAACTTACAGCCTACTGTGCTGCTCACCCACTCGCACATGGCCAACGAGTCCGTTCTGGTTTATAGCTATGAGCTGCCCCTGTGAGTTTCCTAGGCTGCAGCTCTTCATGGAGCAGACAGCCTCATCTTTCTCCCAAGGAGACTGGTGATTTCGAACTGCCGACCCTGTTGATTGGCCGGCTGAAAGCCGAGCTTCTCGCGTGTACAGTGCTTGCCCTGGGCACTCACTGGGACTGTATTGTTGGAGTTATCCAGGCCGGCCGGCCCAGCTCATGCAGATGAATCTGGTTCCAGGGCCAGAGGCTGGCTGCTGTCCGATGGGCTGCCACAGGGCAGCGTGGGCACCAGGAGGAAGAGCAGAGAGGAGGACAGGCCTTTCTCTGGGTGCAGTGCGATCCCCTCTGCACACGTTCAATACAGGCTGGGTTGGGCGGCCACAGACATCTTCTGAACAGCATATCCACCCTCAGACAGTGAGGAGGACCTGCGGGTCGCTAGGTGACACTGCAGGGTGGATTCCCTGGGAGGCCCTGGAGAGGACCTGCCTATGGTGATGGAGAGGGATGGCAGGGGCAACCTTAGAGGACAGGGCACCCGGCAAGGCAAGCCAGCTCCGTGCGTGGCCTCACCGGTAGCACTTCCTGTTGCCGGGGCTGGGGAAATCTCAGCCGCGTCTAGGGTCTCCCCGCAGCCTGCTCAGTGCATGCATCTCTACGGATTACCATCATGGAGACCCCTTGACCCTTATCCCCTCATGTCATGAATGGCTCCATAGAGCCAGCCTTGGAGATGAGCTGACCAGAGCCGGTGGGTCCCCCCCGAACACCCACATCCATAACACTGCACCCCGGGACCAGCCCCTCGTCCTTCCATGGTGGCTTGGTGGCCACCACATCCGTCGCACCACTCACCCCAGGAACAGACTCCCTGCAGTCAGTCTCAGGGAACGTCAAGACCATCCCAAGCCACAGCAGCCCCGAAGGACGGAGCCCACGTGCCCCAGAGGGTGTCCCACCCCATCATCTTTACGGGACCACCGTGCCTGTGCTCATCTTCTGCAGGTGCCCATGGGTTCAAACCACTGACCTTTCAGTTAGCAGACGGGTGCTGAACCATGTGCCCAGGGCCCCTCCGCAGGTGGGAAGAACTCGTGCCTTCGAATCAAGGTGCCAGCAAAGACTATCAAACAGTGCTTAGGGCTGCAATCTGAAAGGTCGGCGGTTCAAAACCATCCACTCCTCGGGGCTTTCTACTCCCGGAAAGAGTCGCAGTCTGGGAAACCCACGGGAGCAGTCCTGTCCTGTCCCAGAGGGCCGCTCGGAGTCAGCGTGGCCTCCATGGCCGGGAGAGGGAGGGCCTCCTGCGTTGGACGAAGTGCGGCCGGAAGGCTCCTTGGAAGATAAGCTGTCGAGACGTCGTCTCACCTACTGTGGACCTGTGGTCAGGAGGGACCAGCCCCTGGCAAGGGGCCTTATGTTGGCTAAAGTGGAGGGGGAGGCCTGGACTAGATGGACGGACACAGAGGCCGCCACGGGGGGCTTGGCCATCACCCTGATGGTGAGGGCTGTATAAGTTGTGTTCTGGGAGGGCAGGCCCCTTCCAACAACGTGCATTCTCTGTGAGCCTCTGGGCTCTGTGGTGGGGGTGTGGTGGGGGTGCTGGGCCCTGTTCTGGGTGCAATCGTGGGTCTGCAGGCTCGTCCCTCACCCTGACAGTCCCGCTGTGAGTCTTGAAAGCCTCAGCCGCCCAGGGGTGCTCAGGAGGGCAGGAAGGGAGCACTTTGAGGGGAGCAACAGGGGCTGGGGGAATCGAAGCGTAAAGCGCGTGTGGGGTGCAGAGCTTTAGGTGAAAACTAGTGGGGCGAAGGGAACACTCCTCTTGCCTTCATAGAACAAGTCAGGGGGCCAGCAGGAAAGGCGGGGCCAAGATGGGTTGGGGAACGGGGGGCGGGGGGGGTGGCGCTGGATCAAACACGTGTATGGGAGCACTTGGGCCAGAGGCCCCTCCGCGGCAGCACCAGCTTCCCCGGGGCTGCCAACTTACTGCTTGGTGCCACCCTTGCCACCCTTAGAGCAGTGCCCACCTGCCCCGGCGGTTTCCAGGGCACTTTCACACCGACCAGGGTGCCCTGGGGACACTTGGTGACAGTTTGAAAAGCAGCGCCCACGGTGGTGTCGTCATGAGTGACACGCTGGGCTGCTCCCTGCAAGGTCAGCAGTTTGAACCCAGCAGCCGCTCCTCTGGGGGAAGACGAGGCTCTCTGTTCCTGTAAAGAGTTATTGTCGTGAAGACCCACAGGGGCTGTCTACCCCGTCCTGTAGGGTCACTGTGAGTCGCTGTTGAGGCGATGGCATTGGTGAGCTTGGAGAACAGAGCCTTCTGGGTCCATTGCCCATGACGATGGCTGGTCCCAGAGGAGGCAGTGCTGGCGGGCAGCTGTTCCTGCCCCTGCCCCTGGCCTCAGCCTGGGGTGCAAAGGCCTGACATTTCGTGGTCATGTCGCTGGGGAGCTGAAAGCGTGCTTGTCTTACAGATGCTGCGGGCAGTGCAGGTGGCACGGAGCCGACCTGCAGGCAGCTGCATCGTGGCATGCAGAAGCAGAGTCAGCTGGGCGGGGGGGCGGGGGGGGCAGTGACGCTCGAAGAACTCTGGTGGCGTAGGGGTTAAAGTGCTTGGCAGGTATCTGGCCAGCTGGCGGCTCAAACGCACCAGCCACTCTGGTGGGGGAGGATGGGGCAGTAAACACCTGTAAGCATTTACAGCCTCCGGAACCCTCTGGGGCATCATGCTCTGTGCTGCAGGGCCGGCCGGAACTGCGGGTCACACCCCGCTGGACGCGGTGGGTGTGGTGTGGGTTTCGGGTGCTGGTGAGAACAGGTGACAAGTCTGGCCTGGCCCCACAGGCAGGACGGTGGCTTGAAGCTCTGAGGCATCCCCTGGGGGCTGTGAGCAGGGCCCCCCAGTATTGTGTGACCACATGTTTCTTTTCTTGCAGGAGGAAGGCCTGGTGAAGGAGGTGGACATCTGCCACCATGTGAAGGAGGGCTTCGAGAAGGCGGACCCCTCGCAGTTCGAGCTGCTCAGAGTGCTGGGCCAGGGCTCTTACGGGAAGGTGAGTGTGCACCTGAGCCTCGCAGCGGGAGCGGCACACCTCCTGGCACGCGGAACTTGGCCTGTGCCCAGGTGCAGGTCCAGTCCTGTCACAAGGGGGACACCTCAAGCATACACACACGTGCACACACATTCATACAAAAACATGTGCACACTCTCGTGTACACACATTTACACCCTAAACACATGCTCACACACATGTGCACACATATATACAAACATACACATTTTCACAACCACACAAAACACACGTGCACATATTAAAACTCATGCATGTATACATGTGCACTTACACATAGTCACATATGTTTGTATACATGCACAGACACACTACACATGAATGTGAATACATATAACACATACGTGCGCACGAGAACACATGGGTGTGCATGCATGCTTGCATATGCCCACGTGTATACACATACATACAAATATACACTAATGTATATACACATGCAAGCCATTCCTGCGTACACACCAACACATATTTGTGTGCATGTACACACACATGTACACATATGTATATTCAGACATTACAATACACACATATTCACATATACACATACTAACACATGAACATGCATGGTATGTACAAACACTTGTATACACGTATGTATGCACACCCACCCACACGTGTACACACACACATACATGCCATTCTCACACCCACTGCTACCCTCTCCGTCAGTCTCCCTCCACTTCCCATTGGTCACTAAGATGAGCTGGCCCCTCTGCGGGCGCCGTGGACCTGAACGCTCCAACTCAGCTGCCATTTCTCAAGAATAACGTGAAGGAGGAAAAGCACCCTCTGGCTGTGGACAGCGGCCCCCGCCCGCCTCCCCTCGGCACTCCACACACTGCCCACCTCCCTGAGCCTCAGTGCCCCGTCTAGCTATCAAATGAAGCCACGGTCCTGTCTAGCCATGTCCTGTTCCCCTGTGGGTCGCAGCACAGAGAGCGGATTCTCACCGGAGACCCCCTATTTGGGCACCACGGCCGCTCACAGACGCTCAGGGACTGCCGCGGATGGGAAGCAGGACCCAGAAACGTGCCGACCCCGACCGGGTGGCCTCAGGACAGAGACCACGTCCGATTCATCTTCGGCGTCCTAATTGAGTGTGCGACCCTCCCTCGCTGGCCTAGGAGGCGATGGAGACCACGATGGCCGGGTCGGGCACGCCGCAGTCCTCGAAGGAAGGAACCCCTGCGTGCCGTCGCACCGAAGAGGCCGGGAGCAGCGGATTTGCCTAAAGAAGCGCATCTCCTGACTGCTGCTCCCACGAGCTTCGACTGTGGATCCAGGCAAGGCAAAATCCTTGACCGCTCCCATCTTCTCGCCCTTTATCGTGACCTGGGCCTTCCTTACATTGAGTCGGAATCCACACGAAGGCCACCGCCCTTGAGCATTATCAGGAAGTGCTTTAAGCCCTCTTGCTTTCAGTAAGCAGGGCTGGGGTCAATCAACCTTCCTCCAATCCTGGTACCACCTTCTTCTTCATATAACCCAGCTTCTCTGATTACAGCACACAGACTGAACACGTATGTTGAGAGGCTACAACCCTGACCTTGCACCATGCAGTATTCCCCTGTTCTGTACCTGCTGAATACCTGCATACCTGCAGCACCTGGCGCTCAGGAGCAGCTTGGTAAACTCCGATACACCTACACAGCTGAGGATCGGTCCACCCCACTGCTACCCAGTCTGCTCTGACTTAGGGCTGCCCTGTGGGCAGTGCTGCCTGGGCCCACACTGCCCCCACAATTGCCAGTTTCCTGCCCGGCAGCTCCTCTCCCTGCTCAGTGTCAGCTTTCTGTTCTGATCCACAAGGTTTTCATTGGCGGAGTTTCCGAAGCCGGTCCCCAGGCCTCTCTTCCTAGTCCGTCTTCGTCTGGACGCTGCACTGGGACCTGCCTGGGCGGCCCTGCCGCTGTTGGCAGCATGGTGGGAATGGGAACGGCAGCACCGCCGCCGACCGTCCGGCGCGAGAGCCTGAAGCACAGCCGGGGGAGCACTTCTGTGCCAGCGCCAGGCCCACGTGGCATCACTCGGACAAGGGTGGGGCTGGCCATTACCCTGTGTGTAGCTGGCCCTCAGCTCAGCCTGCAACAGGTCGTGGGGTGGGGGTATCTGGCTGTTCCCTGGGCTCATGAGCACCCCACCCCCCATGGTGGGGACAGGAGCCCTGGGAACTGGTGTGGGAGGAGGACATTCCACATAAGAGTCCTGTTCACCCTTCACACCTGCTGGTGGCCGCGACGTGGACTCCTGAGTGGACGCTGACAGGGGTGTGGTGGTAAGGGAGCCAGTGGCCTTCTGGGGAGTCTGAGGACCAACTCGCCTACACAGGGGTCTCACAATGGACCCAGGGACCCCTCCCAGGGTGAGCTGAGAGTGCGCCTGTCCTCAGAGGCTCACAGCGGTGCCCAAGGCAGTCCCACAGCCCCCCATGTGTGGGAACCCCACTTTCCTGTGTGTCTGTGCCAGTGGTGTCTCCCCATGCCTCCTGGGGGTCCCCTGTTGGCTCAGACAGGAAGTGAGTATGGGGTGCCCCCCCTCACAGCACTGACACCCCGTTTTCCCCGGCAGGTGTTCCTGGTGAGGAAGGTGAAGGGACCCGACTCGGGGCAGCTCTACGCCATGAAGGTGCTGAAGAAAGCCACCTTAAAAGGTAGGGTCCGGCTCCGCAGCCTCCTTGGGGCGTCCACGTGGTCCTCATGTCCCTGTGTTTTGGATCGCACGGGCGGGCCCCCAGCACTGTCTAGTGTGGTTCTACTGTGGTCTCAGCACTGAGCCGGGACAGCTAGCTCCTGGCACTGCCCCACCACCCAGAGCCCGGCTCAGAGGCCGGCATGCCACATGCACACGCACACACACACACCTTGCCCTCACCCCCAGGAAGGTCCGAGTACTAGTTTCCCGTCTGGTCCGACTCACCCCAGGGTCTGACAGTGGACCCTTCAGACCTGGTAGCCAGATTTTTCCTCCAGCACACCTCAGGGTGGGCTTGAACCTCCTGCCTCTGGGTCTCCATATCACAGAGTGGTCACTGAAAGCCACCTTCTTCCAGGCCACATCTTCTACCCGGCTGAGTGTGCTGGTCCCACACTGACTGCTGTCTGGGCAATCAGGTGTGCTCTTTGAGCCCCGTAAGAGAGACCTTTAAAGAGTTGGACGGATCCTATCATCTTTCAATCCGGTGTCCCTCAGCCTCTTGAAGTCCCCTCCTATACAAGTGTGGAGCCCAAACAGATAACTCAAAGCTCACTACCACGGAGTCGATTCTGCTTTACAGTGACCCGATAGGACAGGGTAGAAGCCCGGTGAACCTCTGAGGGATCAGAAAGTCTCGTCTTTCTCCCGAGGAGCAGCCAGCGGGTTTGAACTGCTGCCTTTGCGGTGAAGAGGCCAACTGCATCCCCTGGGCTCCTCAGCCCAGACAGACAGACACTGATGCCCCAGAGGCACGACGTGGCGCTCACTGGAAGGTCGGAGGGTGGAGCTCACGTAGCATCCTTCAGAAGAATCAACTTCTGAGAGAAACCAGCCCTTGCACATCCCACTTGGCCCACGTGGGGCTGCGTCAGTATGCGCAGTCCGCTAGGACACAGACAGGAGCCCTTCCCAGCAGGCTGGAGAGACGACCCCTGGCCCGATCCCTGCAGACTTCATCCTCATCCCTTAGGCCTCTTGTCATTGTGGGGTGCCTTTGGGTCGGCCCCGACCCACAGCGACGCCGTGCACAATAAAACAAAACACCGCCTGGTCCTGCCCTGTCCTCACAATGGTTCCCACGCTTGAGCACATTGTTGCAGGCACGGTGTCCATTCAGCTCCCCAAGGGCCTTCCCTTCACTGCCCCTCCACGCCACCAAGCACAATGTCCTTCTCCGAGGACTGATCGCTCCTGACCACATGTCCAGAGTACACGCGAGAAAGTCTCGCCATCCTGGCCTCCAGGGAGCGCTCTGGCCGTGCTTCTCTGGAGACAGGTCTGCCGGGTGTCTGCCAGTCTGTGGTATAGTCCGTCTTGTGTGCCGACAACGTACAAAAGGGAACGTCAACTTCAAGTGGGCACTGGTTAGTTGGTAGTCATCTGAATGCCAACAAATGAAATGCCAATGAATGAAAACGACTGGCCACTCTAAAAAGCAGTCACAGGTTAGACATCAAGTTACCATAAACTCATGACTCAAGTTCACTGCTGTCGAGGTAATACAGACTCACCGTGACCCTGTAGGACCAGGTAGAGCGGCCCCTGTGGTTTCTGAGCCCATGACTCTTTACGGGAGTAGGAAGCCCCGCCTTTCTCCCTCGGGTTACCTTAAGACCCCGCAATTTGGGGCTGACTTATGGGGGGGATCGTTAGACATTAAAAGAAGCCCCGGTGGAGGGGTGGGTTAAGTGCCGCACTGTTAACAGGAAGGCCAGTGGTTTGGACCCACCAGCCGCTCCTCAGGAGAAAGAAGAGGCCGCCCACTTCCCTCAAGGGTTCCCACCACAGAAACCCTCTGGGGCAGTTTTGCTCCGTCCTATCAGCTTGTGACAAGTGGGAATCTGCTGTAGTGGGAGATCGGGGGCTCTATTGTACAGGAAAGCCCAGGAATGCCACAGACCCTGTGTAAGGAGACCACCAATCTTGCACACTAACTTGAGCTCAGAACAGGGGTCGGGCTGCACCCTGTCTGAGGCGGGGAGGATGTCCCGTGCCTGCTCGCACCACGGGCCCAGCGAAGTGCCCCCTCCTCTTCTGGAAATGTTGGTCAGCCCTGGTGGGGGCCCAGTTCCATCTCGCTCCATCACGCCCTCCCCCCTCACTCACGCCCTCCCTCTACTCTCTGCAGTCAGGGACCGAGTGAGGTCGAAGATGGAGAGGGACATTCTGGCCGAAGTGAATCACCCATTCATCGTCAGGCTGCACTACGGTAAGGAAGCAGGCTGGGAGGGTCCATACAGGGGACACAGGGCCACCGTCCAGCAGGAAGAGGGCCCATCCCACCTGCTGGGCACTCATCCTGCGTCACAGTCCTTCATCCCCCCACCCACGTCCACTGTCCCAGAATGAGCAGCGTGCCCTGCACAGTGGCCTTTAGCTGTTACCAAGGAGTCCCGGTGGGTGCTCTGGGTCACTCCCTGGCTGCTACAGGCAGGGGACTCTGGTTCCAGCCCACCAGCTGTGCTGGGGGAGAAAGTTGAGTCCGTCTGCTTCAAACCCGAGGGACTGGTGGGCCTGTGTCCTCCGGCCGCTGTGCATGGAACAGACCAGGACCGCGGTGGGCTTGGCGTCTCCGCGGTGATCCATGAACCAGCATCACTGATGGGTGCCCCCGTGCCCCTTCCCAGTCCTTGCTGTCCCCTGGGGCGTGGCAAGCACTGGGATTCTGGCATCTTGGAGAAGACTCTCAGGGCCCCCCAAACTTGCACTGGAGGCTGGGGGTGGTTCCCCGGGGGGAACTGAGGCACAGGTCGGCAGTTTGAATCCTGGTCTCATGCCTGCGCAGCCACACCACGTTCCCTTTTTTGTCTTCCCTGCCCATCACCTCAGAGGAGCAGTCTGAATCCTGAGGGAAGTGTTCAAATCCACCCCTGGGCAAGCCCAGGGTATGCTGCCAGCCTTACTGCCTGTGGGGGTGCCCTCGAGTCATGGGGATGGTGAATGTGGACAGTGTGCAGAGAAGGGGCACACACATATACACCAGGACAGAGCAGGCTCCCACCTCACTCGCTGGTTCACTCCTTATCTCACCCCGGAACCACTCAGACCCGCTTGGAAATCACGTGGCGGATCGGTCCAGGTCCTGGTTCACTGTCGCGAGTGGGGGCCCCTGGGAAGCGAGCGGCTGTGCCCCTGGCAGGCTGGGGACCGAGTCCCTGCCGAGGCGCATCAGGACAGAGGACTGATGGTCTGCATGTGAAAATTGGCCCTGGCCAGGCTGTGTTCTTCTCCAGCGTCCCTCTGCCCCAGTTGGCCTTCCATCTGTGTCTCGAGCCGTGCATGCTGGGGTGGCCTGGGCCATGGGACAGGGGCCGGGCCTGGGTCTCGAGCCGGGGGGTGCGTGAGGTGCCTCATCATCATGGGCAGCTGCCGCCCTCCACCAGCAAGGAGGCCCTCCAGCAATGGCCCCCTGGTCGCTGTCTGTCAGGGAGACGGAGGCACCGTGCATGGTGATGATGGTGCCACCGCATGGACCCTGGAAGAGCTGGGAGGGAGGGAGGCTCCTCCTGCCACATCCCTGTCACAAACCCACTGACAGCGGGCGGCCAGAGAGCAGGTTACCGAGGCTGTGAATTGTCCAGGAAGCAGATAGTCAGCGTCTCCTCTATAATTAAGAAGAGGGGGAGCGCGGGGGGGGGGGGGCAGGCTCTCTCTGAACCTGCAGGAGAGTCAGAGACTGAGAACCCACCCACAGCCCCCCAGTCCACTCCAGCTCAGTAACCATGCTGGATGGCCCTGTTGGCTTTGCAGACGCAGACTGGCCATTGTCCTCCTGAGGGGCAGCTTGTGGGTCTAACCCTGCTCTAACCGCTGGACCCCTGGGCTCTGGGTATAACATGGCAGTGCTCTCTGATCTCTGGCCCCAGCCAGCGGGCCTCCAGGCCAGCTGCAGGTGTGTCTGGAAGGACCCAGCTCTGCAGACCAGAGTGTTCGTGGCCCAGGGAGGAGTAAGGGCACTCCTGGGGGCCACTTCAGCTGGCCATCCATTCGCCCCTCTGCCCTTGGGACCACAACTGTCCCTTTGGTCACGTGTCCTGTCTAGCCTTCAGCCTAAGTGTCCACCTCTGTCTTTCTGACCACGTGTCCACCATTGTCCACCTGCTGACCTGTCCACCTGTATCCCTCTGCTCCTCTGTTTCTGTCTGGTCTGTGCCCTGCTGACCCATGTTGGCCATCTCTCCCCCACAGCCTTTCAGACAGAGGGGAAGCTCTACCTGATCCTGGACTTCCTGCGTGGTGGGGACCTATTCACCCGGCTCTCCAAAGAGGTGTGTGTCCCCGAAGGGCTCTCTGGGACCCGCTGGACTGATGGGTGGGGACCCTGAGTGTGCACATGTGAGTGCGTGAGGGTTTGTGTTGAAAGGGTGTGCGTGTACAAACACGAGTGCATTTTGAGAGTGTGTGTGAGTGTCAAGTGTGTATTGAGAACGTGTGAGTGTGGGTGCTTCCACGTGAGTGTGTGTGTGTATCTGACTTTAAAGTGGCTACCCAGCAAGTCACACTTAAAAGGTTGTGCAGAATGGAGCCCCACATGCCCCAGATTGCCGCCGTGGAGAAGGTGAGCAGGGGTTGTGCCGCAGCCTGGGCTCATGGAGACAGTATGAGAGAACAGGACCTGTCCCTGTCCCCCACTGTCCAGCCAGCTTCCGTGAGCCAGAGGCCTTCCTGACCACTAGCCATCCACCATTCAGGTTCATCCCTGACCTCCCGCTCGTTCCACGGGAAGTGTGCAGAGCGTCCCAGTGCCCCCGGAGAGCTTCTTGCCCACTCAACACTTGAGAAGCAAGCCAGCTCCTTGGCCCCCTTCCTCCATCGCTGCTCTGAGTGCTGAGCTGTGAAGGGAGGGGGCAGCTTGTCTGCGGGGACAGTCCAGGCAGTGGGGCTCATGTGCTTCTGGGGGGCCTCACCTAGTGTGGGGTAGGGGTTGCTCGCTGCAGGGTCCTCGTGGTCCGCAGCGTTGTCATGGACGATAGTCTGCAGCACAGCACCAGTCCTCGTTGGTCACAGCCTGGAAGCTCCGCTGACATGGGGCCCCATCATAGCAGCTCACAGGCCTGCAGGTGTGGGGCCGGGCGTGGAGCATGGGGCGGCTGCGTCTGCCGCATGGAAGGCAGACATCCATCTTGGAGCCCCTGCCTGACCTCCCAAGCACGTTGTTGGTGGTTGTCTCAAAGCGCCTCCCCCTGCCTCCCATGAGTCAAACATCCAAACACTGCCGGGTCCTGCTCAGCCTCCCAAGTGTTCTTAGGTGTGAGCCCATCCATGCAGCCACTGTGTCCGTCCATCTCACTGAGGGCCTTCCTCTTGTCCGCCGCCCCTCCGCTGCTTTACCAAGCATGACATCCTTCTCCACGGCCTCGTCCCTTCTGAGAACACGTCCAAAGTGTGTGTGACAAGGTCTCGCCGTCCCTGCCTTGAGGGAGCACTCTGGCCGGGCTTCGTCCAGGACGACTTGCTCATTCCCCACCAGGGCACAGTATGTCCAGAACCCTGTGCTACCAAGGTCGAAGCCTCTATTCTACCGTCTCCCTGACCTGTTGTCCAGGGGATGGATTCTGGACGGTGGCTTCCTCGGACGTTGGTTTGGGACGCAAGTCAAGTCGCATCCTTGGCAACATCAGTCTTCCGTTGACATTGGTCTGCTTGTTTCTCTTGATACTGAGCTGAAATCAAGGCTGAAGGCATGTGTTCAGCTGGGTGCTCCAGGGAAGCATTTGTGAGCACACAGGGAAGAAATCGACATCAGGAGTCTCGTGCAGCCCGGAGCAGGAAGCCCAGTCTCTTTAGTCTGAGGCTAATCTGGACAGTCTCTCTGCCTCCGCGCACAGTGCTCTGGGGCACCGGTCGGCAGGGCAGCTCTGTGCAGCACCAGCATCTCTGAGCCCCTGAGGGGGGCCTTGTGTGTCCATCGGGCGAGCCTGGGGAGGGAGGGTCCTCTGCTTCACCAGGCAAGGGGGGCCAGGTGTGAGAACCTCCGGGGGCAGGACCCTGGTCCATCTGGGGAGTTCTCTGGACGCCCAACCAGGGGACTGGGCCAATGCCCTCTCTCTCTGCTCTACTGACCAGGTGATGTTCACGGAAGAGGACGTGAAGTTCTACCTGGCAGAGCTGGCCTTGGCTCTGGACCACCTGCATGGGCTGGGGATCATCTACCGAGACCTGAAGCCGGAGAAGTGAGTGGGCTTGAGGGAGGGAGGGATCAGGCCGGAGCCCTCAGGGGGCCACTTACTCCTGGTCCCCAAGGCCATTGCAGTAGGTAGCCTCCTGGCCTAGTTACCAGAGCAGAAACTGGGCAAGGGGTGGGGTATCATGCCTATTCCCCCCACCACCACCACCACCCACACACACACCCTACCCAGGGCCTCCGAGGAGAGGTAGCAAACCCACCTCCCTACCCTGAAACATGCCAGGTGTGCCAGCTGGCCTGCACAGGGATGCCTCAGCATCTGCCTCACCTAGAGGGGCCCGGTGATGCCACAGTTAAGTCCTGGGCTGCTCGCCACAGCTTAGGAGAGGGAGGGGGCAGACTGCTCCCACAGAGAGTTACAGCCTGCAAAACCTCCGGCGTCAGTTCTGCCTGGTCCTGTCGGCAGCCGCCACCGGATGGCCGTGGGTTTGTTTGGGGTTATCTGTTCTGGCAGAGGTCAGGATCCATCTGCACTGTCCAGACCAGGCTAGACCTGGGCAGGAAGCCGCCCTGTGCCCCCACGGCCAGGAGTTGGGGTTCCAGATCACCTACATGGACCTGAGACACTCCAGGGCTTCGGGATGCACCATCTGAACCAGACTGAAGCCAGGCTGCCCCACGGCACCCAAGCCGGGGGCAGGGGACATGTTGGTTGGGGCGGGTGGGGGGGTGCGGGCTGAAAGCTGAAGATAGAAAGTGTTGTTCCAAGGAACACCAGACGCCCTGCCTGAGGCAGCCCAGTGGGGAGCCAAGTTCCTCAGGTTTCTGCGTGAACAACCTGCGGTGGGCCAGCCCTGACCCCATCCTAGCGGGAGCCGAGAGAAGGCACCTGGGGCTGCCCCATCACCTGCTCTGTACAGGGGTGCTGCAGCAGGGAGCCTCACTCTGATGGGCGTTTGCCACACCTGCCTGGTGGCCAGCGTGAGCTTGCCCATCTAGACAGAGCCAGTGTCCTGGCCCTCAGAGGGCTTCCAGCCGCCGCGTGCAAGCACACGGGTTTGCTCTCTGCTGAGAGCGATGAGAGGCTTTGTCGTGCCCGTTGCCCGTTTCCAGGGACGGGCTAAATGTGCAGCCAGGCCGGCACGAGAGAACAGGCTGACTGCTGCCTTGCTGCCGCTCTCTCCCATTCCCTGGCCCCACCGTGGCTCAGGGGCAGAATGGCGAATAGGGCAGTTCCCAGCAGCCGCGTCCATTCTCAGGGCCCCAGCAGGTCAGCAAGTCCGTTGCCCCTCAGGATTGGGTGGCCAGGGCTTTTTTCCACCCTCTCTCTGGGCTTCCTGGCCAGCACTGTCTGCTGGGAGTCCCGACACGGGAGTCCCAGGAGACCCTTCGGAAGGATCAAGCATGAACCTCTGAAGGCTCGCTGGTGTTTTCCCTCAT